GATGAGGCCGGGAGCACATTCTTTCCTATGTTGTGGTTTGCTGACTCTTCGCTTTGTCTCGTGTGTAATGGGAACAGAGCTCGTGGAGTGAGGAGCATGGTCCCAACAAATGGCTCCTGTTGTTTTTTTTAGCTTTGCTTGGGCCTAATTCTGATCAAAATTGTGTAGGTATGAACTTGGGGAAATTCTGCTATTTCTCTGAACCCGTTCCAGGTTCACCCCAGTGGAACCGGCAGCAGAAGCAGGCCCCGAAGTACTTTCTGTGGCACTCCAGCTACGCACAGCAGCCAATTTATTGCTTTGCATTTTCCATCGCCGTGAGAACTAAGTAACCTCCTAGGGCTGAACCTTCACCATCCCGCTTGACTCTGAAAGGCACCAAACTGCTTGTAAGCTGTGGGTCACTATCCACAGATATCTTTGGCTTGTGGGGCTTGGTATTTTGCAGAGAATGCCAGGCTTGCTGGGCTCCTTCATCAGGGAGAGGGCAGGGAGGAAGCCCGGGGCTTGGTGAGGGGACAGCGGCCGTTTCAGTTGGTGTGAGGAGCTGAACCAGGTAGATGATGACTGAAAGCAGAAAATCTCTAAGGCATGGGCCAACAAGACAGGTCTAGCTGTAACATAGTCTTTCTTTGCAGACAGCCACAGCACTGGCTTGCTGGAGCCACCGGTAAAAACCTCCACAGCAGGACACATGGGATTCCCTGGCTGCATCGCTTCTGCAGGGCTTCTCCTAGTTACTGGTGGGGGTGGACAAGTGCATGCCACGTGCCTAGTGCTTTTTCTGCACAGCCCTCATCTTTTCTAGCATATCATTGGACTAGATGATTTCTAGAGGTCCCTTCCAGCCCCTAGAATTCTATGATTCTGTGATCATTTGGTAGCCAAACAGGCCAGGCAAGGAATCTTTTTGTGGTTATTTACTGGTGGCACTTCAGGACAACGTGCCACCTCCGTCCAAGGTTTCTGTTAACACAGATATGCTGATAAACAGGAGTTTGGTTTTAGTTAGTTAGGTTCCAAGGGAAGTAATAAAAGCACTAAAACTGCTGCAAAACTAATGTTTTGTGGATATCCAAGAATAATCTACAGTGTAGAGCATCACTGAATGACTCTGCACTTTCTTTGAGCTTGGTAACTGTGGAGTTAAAAATGAGTATGTCTTTCAAGCATTTGCCATGGTCAGAAAAGAGCTTAGAGTGTGCTTGAGAAGGCAGCAGGTTAGTTTATGCTGCTAGCAAAAGTGATTCTGCAGTGTGAAAGATCCCAAAAGCAATGAAATGCCTCAGTATTTTCTATAGTGCGAGGCAGCTTCTGTTTGTCAGTGTTGGGAGTGACATTTGTCAGCATTTGGCAAATTAGTATGTAGTTTAGCAAACATAACTTTTTGTTTAATCCGCCACTAAAACTGCTGTTGCTGGTGGTATGGGGTCAGGCCTCTAGAGCAACAGGTGGAACAAACCCCAGAAGCCTCCAAACATACACGCACACACACAGATCAAATAAAAATACTTCACTAACAGGGATGTTTAGAGGTGAGCTTGGATGAGAGGGAGGGGAAATGAGGCGCTTCTATAAGCCAGGCTACCCCAGCTGGTGTTCATGAGGTATTTGACATGACCAGCATTAGGCATTTGAGACTCATTTGCACTGAGCATTAACACACCTGGACTTCGAGGAGCATGGTGGGCAAAGTGCTGACTGCTTCACTGGTACTCATTGTATAGGATTTCGAAATGAATATTTTCTTGCAAATATTTCTATCTGGCTTTGACACTTCCCAGTTGATAGATTGGGTCACTTTGACACTACACAGCTCATAAGCAACACGTGGGTGCAGAATTCCTCCCCAAGGAGATGGAGACCCACTGCCGTGCTGGAGTACCTGTGTTCAACAGAGTTGCAGCTCCATGATGTAGAGCCAGGGACTCTGAGAGGGCAGAAGCATTTCAGAGGTGGGGATCTATAGATTTATTACAGCCAATTCTTAGTCTCACTAACTGTACACTTTACAAGAACGGGTGTTTTGTTATGTTCAGAGTATGTGGAAGTGCACAGTATTATCTATGTATTTTCACTTTAAAAGCCTTCATGTTTTTCCACCATTAATGATTGGTGAATTAATGATTTTCTTGAATTCTGTGTCTAGGCTTTTCTACCAAGCTGCTCTTGGACCCATGGGTAGATTAAAAAAAAAAAAAGTAATTTCAGCTGTTCTAAGAAGGCACTGGAAATGCCGATATATTGCTGTTATAAAGAAAATTCATGGCTACTTTCTTGTTTGAATTGCATCAGTGCCTCTGCAGCTGACAGTAGATATTTGATACCTCATCTGAAATAGGTCAGTCTTTTCCAAGTAAGAAATTGTGGCTGTTCTATATAGGGAAGTGACTCCACTGGAAATTACAGGAATTGAATTTAAGAGAAATAGCAAGCTCAGAATGAAACTGGAAGTGTTAACTCCATGAGGTAAAGAATTAAGAAAAAAAAATAAAAATGAGAGCTGTAAGTAGATTTTGCATTCAAGGAAAATCTCTTTTAGTTCATGATATTTAGAGGTTTTGCCTGGGACTCTCAGAAGAATCCTGGAGACTTACAGGTGTTGAACTGCCACAGATCCTTTTTGGAAAAGCAGTGTTCAAAGTACGTACCTCACATCAGTGTAGATTATTTTTGAATGATGAGAAAAGGGCTCCCTTGCTAATAGTACCAGCGCTATTCGTTGGTACTGTTGGCAGACATATGAGCACATCATTGTGTAGCTAATATAAACCGGAGGCTGCAGAGGACCCAGACCCCCGATTTGAGCAATCTCTGGTGCTTTGTTGACCTCCCTCAGTGCCTGGCAATTTCTTCATTCTTTGATAACAGTTTGTTCTGTGAATGCATTTGCCCATTCTCCAGAAGAGCAGCGTGAAAGCACAGGGTTACATGAGCAAACTTAGTCTAGCTGATGCACTTCAGGGCTCTCCTTTTGGTCCTTGTCCCTTTATCTTTACTCTTCTCCTCCAGTCCACCAGCACTATTGCAGGGCAGGCAGCAGCATTACGTTGTACGTGTGGGCTTCTGTATCCTGGTCTGTACCTGAGGTATGAGGGCAGGAGGGACTGGCACAGAATCAGAGAATGGTTGGAAGGGACCTTAGAGATCATCTAGTCCAACCTCGCTGTCATGGGCAGGGATGCCTCTCAACTAGACCAGGTTGCTCAAGGCCTCATCCAACCTGGCCTCAGAGTGGGAGGTATCCACAACTTCTCTGGACAATTTACTCTAGAGTCTTTTCACCCTCGAACTGAATATTTTTTTCCTAAGAGCCAATTGAAATTTATTTTCCTTTAACTTAAATCCATTTCCCCTTGTCCTATCTGTGGACACTTTTGTAAAAAGTCCCTCTGCAGCCTTCCTGTAGGTTCCCTTCAGGTATTGGAAGGCAGTTATAAGGTCCTCTCCAGAGTCTTCTCTTTTCAAACTGAAAAATCCCAGTTCCCTCAGCCTGTCCTTATAGCAGACGTGCTTCAGCCTCTGCATTATCTTTGTGGCCCTCCTCTGAACTCGTTGCAACAGATCCATGTCGCTCTTATGGTGGAGACACCAGAACTGGATGCAGTATTTGAGGTGGGGTCTCACAAGAGCAGTGTAAAGGGGGAGAATCACCTCTCTTGATCTGCTGGCCACACTCCTCTTGATGCATCCTAGGATCATTTTATCAGGTTTTTTTTTAATATACATTTACACAGAAAAATGTGTAACAGCACTTAGGGGAAACCTACTGCTTTACAGTAGTTAAATTTCAGATTTTTTTTAGTTTTGTGACTAAACCTCTGTGATCCTTCTTCCTAAGACACCTGGTGCATGAGTTTTGTCTAGCAAGGAAAGCAAACAAGCCATTCCTTCATAAATACTGCAGTCCTAGTAAAGGCTTTTAAAACCATTGACATCTTGTGCTTCTTAGCCCTTTTAACAGCTTGAAAGTGTGCAACGTAGATTCACACAGTAGAAACCACCTGTTTTCTGTAGAGGTGCTGCACACAAGGCTCCATTTGAGGTCTGAGTCCCACTAGACTGTGGGATCCCTAAGAATGTCAGACCAAGTGGAAAAAAGCCAAGGGGTGTCTGTTGTATATTTTGGGAATGGCAGCACGAATGTGGAAGGTCATGCACGTAACTAAGTTGCCCAAGTTTTCACAAGGAAACTGCAGCGGAGTCAGGGATTGGCTGTCTGGAATGCTATCCCAGGGAATTAGCCATGAGTTCTGCTTTTCCCTTTGGAATTACTTCAAAAGCTTTCTCTTCTGAAACAAACTGTAATTCATGCAAACATTCTCTCATGTGTTCTGAGAGAGTAGAGGATCAATCAAGTGTTTCTGTGTGGCTTCAAGGGCAGAGCTGTGCTCTAGGAAAGTAAATAACCTGCTAGCAGATGATTTAGTGAAGTCAGATAAAATTAGTTGAACTGGAAGGTACTGATATTTTATGTTATAAAAGGGAAGACAAATGGGAGGGTTACTGAACTTATTTCAAAACTGTATAGTGAACCATTTCAGACCTGTTTCTACTTCTCTTTGAGTCAATAGGTTTTGTCAGGGTGGTTCCTGTTACAGGTTCCAGCACGACTGCTATAGAAGCCTTAACAGAGTTAGCCACCTTGTCTCCATAGATCTCTGTGTAGTTTGTGTCCCTAACCATCTTTGAAGCTGCCCAGCCTTAAAATTCGGAGTATAACAAGGAATTTCACTGTGAAATAAGATTAATGTAATCAATTGTGGTTTGTATGCAGGTCTGGAAGTGTCAGAAATCATTGGACCGAGATTTACTCTTTTGTGGAAAGCCTAGCTGAGAAGTTCATAAGGTAAAGTTTTCTTTAGGCGGTATTTTAATTTGCTATATAGGTAATTTTCATTCACTGCTTCTTAGCAAATGAAAGTCTGCTGAAGTAATATATATGTGTGTGTGTGATGTAGCTCTGACTTGTTCTTCTGTTTCAGTCCAATGTTGCGGATGTCCTTCATTGTTTTTTCTTCACGAGGCACTACAGTCATGAAACTGACAGAAAACAGGCAAGTATTCTTAGAATCGTGGAATGGCCTAGGCTGGAAGGGACCTTAGAGATCATTTAATCCAACCTCCCTGTCACGGGCAGGGACGCCTCTCAACTAGATCAGGCAACACATGGGGACCGAACAGGGATCTCCCCACAACTTTCATCCTGAAATACTCTCCATCCTTCCTCTCAAGCAGCAACTGGCCCCAAAACTAGAGTTCAGAGGTCTGATTTGGTCCTTGCTGTGGTACCAACTCAGGCACCTACTGAAATCCTTTCCACCATTCCCAGCTGGAAGAGGGCTTAAGACACCTTTGGGTCCCCCATTACCATTTTGTTTTCAGCCTTGTAAGAGAAAAGCAGCACTGGGCTCTCTGTTCTTTATTGCAGTATTGTGGGGAGAAACTGCATTTCCAGTCAAGGATTCATGTACATCCTCACTATCTCCAACTACCTAAATAAGGGCAGTTTTTGTGTAAGAGGTCTCAGACCTTGAACTGATGAGCCAAGGACTCCATGAAACTCGCACGGTGCCCACTTTGAAGTGACTCAAAGACCTGAACTTTACACCAGCAGCTGGTCATACCCAGTGCTGGAGCACAGCCTCGCCTACCTGTCGCACACCTCTGCTGGGCTGCCTTCAGACAGCACCTGTGCCAGGGCTGGTTTGCACAGCCAAGCAATAGCCTTCTTAGTAAAAAGTGAGTCTGAGGCTGGAGCAAAATTCTTGTTCCTACCTGCACAGCCAAATCCTCTTTACAAAACAAAAATCAACCAAGAAACTCACAAAAATGAACCCCCAAAAAACAAAACCAACAACCAAAAACCCCCAAACTCACCCTGCTGAGAAAGCCTGAAACCCTGCAGGGGTCTTGCGTTTTTACTGTCTCCACAGAGTTTTGGCTGTGGTCTCCACATTGTACCTGGGTGACAGAGTTCAAGCTTGCTTAATTCTCCCAACTGCATTTTCTCTTTGCAAGGTGGAGAGAGGAACCCCATGGCAGTATGTTGAGTATGATATTAGAATGTTCCCTCTTCTAATTTCTCTGTATGGATCACCATGTGTGCCTTTTCACCTTATTTTATCCTTTGAGAGGGTAGATTTTGCTTTACGCCATAAGAACATCCCCAATCCCAGCTCCTGATCTTACCTTTGCCCCACATAGACTGCTGTTTCCTCTGTAGCTGGGGTTGTGCCACCTAAAATGCCCAGTTGCAAAAGGGAGCGTAGAGAGGCTTTCATGATCCTTATAAGAAAAAGATGCCCCATAGCATCTGGGGCTGATGTTTGGACTGACCACATTTTACCTGCTGAGTATTTCTGCCTTATTTGCCTTATTTGTGTTCCATTAATGTAATGAAAACTTTGCCAAGAATCAGGGTCTTTTACCGATAAGGGATCAGTTAAATTATTAATTTCCCAGAACAATCCTCTTGGTTAACAGGTATTTGTGGACTAAGAAGCTGTGCACCAGAGGTATCAAAATATCAAAGTCCCTGTCTCACCAGGGAGCACTCTGTGCCCCAGGAAGGTTGATCAGTCTCTGGTTTAGGAAATTCTCATCATTCCCATCCTGTTCTCTTATCTCTTGGTATCTGTCTTTATAATGGAAAAGTCCTCATCCCAACTGTCCTGATAATGAATTGGAGTTTTTATTTGTCTCATTTTCATGACAGGATCATAAGCTTTTAAATTCTCATTCTGCCTACAGTCTGTCAGAGTTTAACGTCTGGTATTTGCTTTGATTCAGTCTTACCCTGACCGACAGTATACCAGAATGAGGGAGCAGGGACAGAATTGCACCATTAAAATGTGTTAACCCTAACATGATATTGTGTTATTGTGTCCAGTTTTGTGCTCCTGTGGGTGTTTGGCTGGAAAATTGTGTTTTTTGAAAGATCTGATTTTGCCAGTGTTTCTGCTGATGTGTATGCACTCTGTGCAGTGTATTGACAAGGTGCATAACTTAGCTGTGATACAGGAATATCTTGACTAAGAAAAAAAAGAACTTTTTGGTAAGATTTTCTCCTTTTTTTTCTTGTTTTGTTTTTTTAATCCAAAGGGAAGCCATAAGACGAGGGCTCGACATTCTTCAGTACGAAGTGCCTGGAGGAGACACATTCATGCATGAAGGATTTAAAAGGGTACACATCACAGTACCTCTTTTCTTTGATTTATACATAGAAACTTTGCTTTGCTTGCTGCTGGTATACTTAAGAGCTAACAATGTTCTACATTTTGTTGCAGGCAAATGAACAGATTTACCATGAAACCTATGGAGGTATGTGTTGTGTATCGCTCATGTTATATACCTGCACTGAAAAGACAGGAACAATAGTTCTTTAGGTGACCTGCAGTAAACCCACCAAAAGAAGTGTTGGAGGCGGAATTGGAGTTACACAATCACTACATTCCATTTTGACTACAGCCCTACTTTTAAATGTGTGATTCATGGTTTATTAAGACCAGAGGAGACCAGTATGATCATAGATCTGACCCGAGGCAGAATACAGACCAAAGCATTACAGCCAGAGCTGCCTGTCCTGCATCCAGGGTATGGGAATACCCAGATTTTCGTGTACCCTTATCTCCTGACACACTCGGCACTGTCTGCTTTGTGTGCCTTAAGTCCTTGTTCTCATTAATGTTAAGTATGAATGCAATCAGCTGGGATTTTTGCATCAGTGTGAATGATTTGGGATCAGATTCTGAGTTTCTAAAGTGTATGTTTTGACTAAATTTCAAGAGGGATATAATTACTTTTTTTTTGTCTGTGCCAAAAAAAGGCCTTATTAGTTAAACTGAACACTTCTTGCCTGGTTTGTACCCTGGTGTGAGGTTATTCTCGTTTCTGTGCTGATGTTTGGTGTTTTTTTTTTAATATGGAGAAATTGGTGAGTGCCTTTTTAATGGAATAGACTGTGAGTGTTGAATCTTCAGCAGCAGCTCTGTGTGGTTTCTCAGGCACTTGTGCTTCTAAAATCGAGGGTCCTGAGTAGTCCAGCTGAAAACTATTTTACATTTTCATAACATAAATAAGAACTAATCTACTATTCTATAAGTTGATTAGGAAAGAAGAAGGAGTAGATGAGGTCTGGGTCTATAAGCTAAAATATCAGGGAAGAAATAAGTGTTCAAAAAGAAAACAAATTAAGATTTTCAGTCTTTCATCCTTTTTCAAGCATGCTGGGCAGGGAAAAAAAAAAAAGGAAGAAGAAAAAAGAGGAATACAGGAATCCAAGCTGGTTTTACCCCCAAGTTGCAGGTCACTTTTTAAGATTTATGTCTGTGTCTGACATGACATGGTAGGGACTGCATAGCATAAGAAGCTTGTCAGAACTAATCAGTCTTTAATTTCAGACAGTATGGGAAAAGACACTTGAAATTATAACAGATCATTTTGAAAAAATAAATACTTCCCTGGAAGTAACATGTATGTGCATTAAAAACTATTGAAGCGGAGTGGTTGATTGAACCATAGCTTGCACATTATTTTAGTTCAACTTTGTTAACATGCTACATTTTTCTAGGTTGTATTGTATTCTGTACTGCATTACACATACAGCTATCTACAATCTATGCAATCTTTTCACTTAGGCTTGGATGGGATATGAAAAGTATTATCACAAGACATGATTTTTTCACCAGTGGACATGATCTTAAGGTTTTCACACACTCAGAATTCCTGTGAACTTTACTAGCAGCTCTCATTGCTCAAGAAGTGAAGGACTGAATCTCCCTGTAGAAGCACATTTTATGCCGTATTCAGTGGGGTTGCACCTTGAAAGTGCTGGTGAGGAAGGTCGAATGGTGGGAAAGCTCATTTTGCAGAGATATCTCCTGCCGCAATCTCTTGGCAAGGTTTATGTAGAGGCATATTTGTCAAGAGAAGAGAGAAAGCTTCTCTCTCTGCAGGTTCCATTTTGCCACTTCTCCATAGGCAGGTGTAGATGTAATCTTGGTGGGTGCTACGGTTTACTCAGAAAATAGAAGTTTGTGCGTGGGCCTTGTTAGAGCAGTACTTGCCCTTCAGTGACGCTTGCGATACAAAAGTGAACAGATTTGGGCTTATTGCATGCATCTGACCTTCAGCTGGTATACCTTCAGTAAAGTCCATACAAACAAGGCTCTGATTTTGCATTTATAAGTCAGCCAAAAGTGATGCCTCACTTCAGACTTTCTTTTCATTGCACGGTCTTGTATGCATTCAATCTGTTTAACTATCCTCCACATAGGAGTTCGGACCGCTAGTGTGATTATCGCTCTGACGGATGGAGAATTGCAAGATGTTCAGTTTTATTATGCAGAACAAGAAGTAAGTCACCTTCACATTTATCCAAACTAGCTTATGTCAAACCTGTAGGCAGTTACTGCTGGCTCCACTGGTTACATGGCTTTGCACTTAATGGCAAATTTTATTTTATTTTAGGCCAACAGAGCCAGAAGCTTTGGAGCTATTGTTTATTGTGTTGGAGTGAAAGATTTCAATGAAACTCAGGTAACTGCTTGCTTTTCTTCTTGTTTTGTTTCTTTTTTTCTGTTATACTAGTGCACAAGGAACAGCATCAGATGAAGGCATTCATTTAATTACTTGAGGCGTAAATCATTTCGTGTCAGTATGATGTCTTTTAGCAAGTATGAAAAGGGCCCAGTTTTGTTCACTGTAATTTTGTTTTCCTCATGATTTATGATTGTCTTTCTTTGCAGCTGTCAACAATTGCTGACAGCATCGATCATGTTTTTCCAGTTACGGGAGGCTTTTATGCCCTGAGAGGAACCATTGATTCAGTAAGTTGGGTATTCTCAGATCCAGAAAAGGGCACCCTTTCCTGTATTAACAGTGCATAGACAAAAATCAGTTGCCAAAAATGCCATTGTCTAAATCTTTTAGATTCTCAAGAAATCTTGCATTGAGATCCTGGCAGCTGAACCATCGAGTGTGTGTGCAGGAGGTGAGTTCCCACAAGAGTGATGTGATAAGGCAAATGAATGACAATGATGAAATGTCAGTAACTACCTAATGTGGGGTTGGAGCTGAAGCCGGTGGATGTGTTGGAGCATCCCCTCAGGCCACAGCTGAAGCCCTGTGTGTTCCTTCTCACTTGAGGAGAAAAAAAATGGTGCTGATAAAACACGTAGCTGCTGTGGCTGAGTGCCAGCTTGGAGAGTTGACTGAGGTAGCACTTGGGGAATTGGGGATGCTGCTTTTTTAAATTCTCCAGGAGAAGGAGGAGACAGAAGTGACGTAAAGCCAGGCTGCCAGAGGTGCTTTAGGGTCTCGAGGTGATGTCTCCCAAGTTTCTGGACAGACTGCATTCCTGGGATCTGCTGGAACTCGTGGGCAGTTAGAACAAGATTTTGCAAAACCTTCAGAAATTTCACGTTTATTGAACCAGGTATAATTAACTGCATAGGCTACAGTGCTGATGTATTTTCCCAGGTACTAATGTTTTACTTACTCACAGTGAAAGGAACCATTAGTGTGTATGGTAAACGTGAAGAATCCTCAGAGGAGCTGTTGACAATTTCATGACTTTCGTGTCTAGCATGTTTTATTTGGATTTGTTCTGGTTTATGTTAGCAATTCACTTGCTCTGTGTTTGTCTTAAAAGGCTATTGCAGCAGAGTGAGAGTGACACTGTAAGTTTGCTGGAAGGTACAGTTTACAGCATGGTTATTTAGATCTAATGTTTACTGTCTTGTGTTCATTTCCTTATATGCTGTAAAAATGAGCACATAAAAATAAAATAGCAATGATGCGTGAAGGCTGACCTTGAAAACAGATAAAAATAGGAAAGTCAGGGAAAAATATCTAATAAATATAACAGAGAAATTGTTTACTCTTCCCTTTCACATGTCAATCACAACATGATCTTGCCCTGAGTATTTCAATTTAAGATGAAGTACCCTTGTATCTTTTGAACTCTTCCTAAATATATAATTGTGGACTAGCCATTTGTGATAAAATATGTTCTCTGGAAAATTAAAAAGGAATTACATTGCCTTTAAAAATCTCCTGTAGAGTTGATAAAAACAATTATAAAGCTTTGATATTTCAAAGCTTTTTTTTAATTATTTGATAATGATGAATACTGTGGGGTTTTGCTTGCTTATTGTATATCAGACAACTTTTTTCTGTAAAGATTTCTTGTTAACCAAAAATTGCCTTTAGCTACATGAAAATGTGAGTGTGCCAATAGGAGGAATTTCAGTAGTATTCTTGTAATTATTTAGGACCATTGGGAATTTGAACTTGAAAACATACTTTTCAAATGGAGGTTTCAAAATATTTTTCTAAAGTGTTTGAGAAAAGAGATTTTCAAGAAAAGATTTGCTTTTCAAAAATGGATATTTTTCAACAAGAAATAAAATCCTCTTTTGAAAAAGGAATCAGTTTGATTCCCAATTCATGACTTCAGATCATTTCAATTTTTGCCAAGCTTTCCAGGCAACTAGTTTATCACAAACATGGTTAAAAATACACAAGTGCACTTAAAATTGATTCACCCTCCTTTAAAATAACAAATAAAATTTTAAAATGTTACATTACTTACATCTGTAAAAGTTTTTCAGTGGCTTTCGTTTCAGACCAGTATAAAGAAGGTAGAACCAGTTTCTGTGTGTTGCTGCTGATTCAGCAAAATACCGGCACATGTCTCACTTAAATTCTTTTAATTTTAAGAGGTTTGTTCTGCCCCTGTTGACGGAGCCGTCCAGCACAGGCTGGCACATGGCAAAGCCTGGTGCCGAGTCACCAGGGCATGAAGACTCAGATCTCGCGTGCTTGGAGCTTTGCTTGTAGCAGCAGGGAGCCTCAAAACTGGAGGAAGCTAAAGCTGGAGCTCCGAATGGTGCGAGCTGTCGTGGGTTAAATCACTGAGAGCACCAAGAATGAGAGCTGAAATCGCTTTTATTATGAGTCTAGTCCTGCAAGTCTTAGGTGAAATTAACTCCTGCAAGAAGTTATACAGCATGAGGTGCAAATATTCAAACTTGTGCTTGGCTTTGTTATCCTTTATCCCACTTATTTCATCATATCATAGAATCATAGAATGGCCTAGGCTGGAAGGGACCTTAGAGATCATCTAGTCCAACCTCCCTGTCATGGGCAGGGATGCCTCTCAACTAGATCAGGCTACTCAAGGCTCCGTCCAATTTGGTTCATCTTTATAGCTGCAGGCACTGCTCACTGCTGGAGAAAATCTCCTGGGATTAAATACCTTTTTCATGGCAGTGTGAATCCAAATCCTGAATCTAGTTCACTGGACAGTTGGATGTAGTTCTACTCTATATGTAACGTGATTTTAATTTTTTTTTTCTCTATTTACTGTATTTGGACATCAGTGCAAAAAAAGTACTGAAGTCGTCTCAGAATTTTAGTGCATTTTAAATTTAGATAATTACTAATACAGTATACTGCTAATGCATAAGTAAGGTTATGTAGTCAGGCTATCCTATATAAATATATAAACACCTGCATTTAGAACTGTCTGAAAAATAGAACATTACATTTTGTAGAAATGCAACATTCTTTCCCTTTTTTCTAAGTTAGAAATTTTGTTATTTGGTTTTTTTTTTTTAATATGTCATTGAAATTTGCATTTCAAAGTTTTGATCAAAAAAACAGTAGACCTTTTGAAAGAGTGCAATATATTATCACCATTGTCCAGGAAAGAAGCTTGCTTCACAGCCTTAAAACATGTCTCTGTCCATGCTTTTTGTATCAAGCTTATCTGAATGAGGAGGCGATAATCAGTCTGGCTTTTGTTTAGAATTATTACTGATTTTTAGAATCTGGTATGAGGTCATGAGGGCTTTGTGTTGCTCAGTGGAAGCCAATAATGAATCAGGGCTTAGAGCAGAGTCTGACCTGCTCCTTGTAACTGTTCTTGCAACTCATAATTACCACTGTGTTAGTAATCACTGGTGATCTTGGCTTCATTTTTGACTTGCCAGAGGTTTAGTAAAATGCTGATGGAACAATTTCCATGCAGTGACAATTCCAGTTGGGACTCTGGCTCTCTGTGGCGAAGCTATCTGGCAAGTCCATTTGCAAATTGATCTCGTCACATTGTGACAGCTATCTGATGCTTTAATGCTCTTTGACCCTGCAAATTCATCACCCCCAATGCAGAGCAATGTAGTTGGGTCCTTCCTGTTCCCTCTGATTTAAAGTGACCAAGACGTGCAGCCTGTAAACAGGCTATCAGTGCGGGATTGGAGGTGCCTCATATCCTGTTTGACAGCATCATTGCTTTGATTATGCTTACAGTACGCAGATATGATTGAAAGGTTTTGTTGGATGTGGCATCCTACTGGCCACATCAACTACCAGGTGTGGATGCAAGCCGTCAGCTTCTCATCAGAGTCACAGAAGCGAAGCCGACAGCGCAGCCACCGCACACCAGCTTCAACCTACCATCTCGCTGCCAGCGCTGCCTGGTTATTTCAGTGCTGACCTTTTTCCCTTCGCTGTCTTGTCAAAAGCTGCAATCCACGATCTGACAGTAACTAAGGAAGAAAAGGACGCAGCCAGAGCCAGGGCGCAAAATTAAATGGAATTAGCCATTTCAACAGACCATCATCCAGAACACGTTAATGCTCTGGAGCGTTCCAAGGGACAGGCTTCTTAACAGCAACAGCCAAATTCAGTACCAGCTGTTTACATTTCCGAGCGAGTCTGGTATTGAAACTATGTTGTCAGCTTGTGTTGGTGGACGGCTTACTACCCAGTCAGTTCACAACTGACTGTGCGGAGTGGCAGTGACCGTGGAAAGAAGGGCAGGAGAGGTAAACTGTCTTGACAAGACTAAACTTCTAGATGTAGCTTTTACATTTCTTGTTTTGTGTTGAAATTCTCTTACCTGCTGCATCTTTTCAAAGCCACTGAAATAGCTATCAATTAAGCCTTTGTGGTTGCTGCCTTTAACGCCATTAGTTCAGGGTGGGAGGAGAACACCTCTAAGTGTAATTTTATTTCAGCATGCTGCTTTTATAATATCAAATTGAGAGGAGGCTGAAAAAAAGTGGAATTATGTTATCTGAGTGTTCAAGTCACTGTGGAGTGGGCTGGCTACAAGCAAGTCTGGGGTAATGTACTAGGCAGGTAGTTCTGGTGGGTGGGCAGAGGCCCAGTTGCCTTTGGGGCTGGCCATGACTCTCAGCCCTGCTGCAAAAAAATAAAAGAGTTGCTCATCAGGCATCAGAATATCAGCTGGGTTAGATGTAGAATGGCTCAAGGCATGAATCAGACTTAGAGTAACTCCATATTCTTACTGGAGTAAGAAGCAGCTGAATCTGCCCTACAGTCCATTTTTGTTTATTTAAATAAGTGCCCCCACCCCCGATGGGAATGAGGAGGTATTACACTTTCCTTTAAAAAGAGGCCAAATTCTGATGCTGTTTTTATGCATTTGGCTCCTAATGTGCTTAGTGAGGTCTTGAATTGGATCATCTTTCTTCAACAAAGTGCCAAAGCGTGTGTTTCACTTTAATATGCGCTCCAGTAGCTATTTCCTTTTTCCAAAATATCTTCTCAGATTCCCATGGTCCTTGCAGTCTGTGTCAGTTCAAAGCACTGCTCTAAGGAAAAGTTACCATGAGGAAAACCGTAGTGTGGGTTTCTAGCGCTTGACCATAGCTTGTGCATGCCCTTGTCCAATTCACCCAGAGTTGCATTAGACCTCGGTGTGTTTTTGGCAAGCTGTTTGTATGGAAAAGTTCAAGCACTACACATCCTCATGCCAGCTTGTCTTGCAGTAACTTGATGGTAAAGGGCAGGCAGACTAAGCTGAATGTGGATTTTAGCCACCTTTGGGCCTCATTACTGTTATCCAGTAACAAATCCTTCCTCCGAAGCATACAAATAGCATGGCAGTGCATCATGTAAAATGCTATCAAAAGCCAAATCTCATATCACTAAAAATTAGGTGCTGCTCCCCTCAGTCCTATCATAGTTGATAATGTGTGTTGATAATGCATGTGAGCTAGTTCATGGTTTTACTTGCTGCTGGTTGAGAACTTCTGTGCAGTTTATTCTTATTTTTCTATGTGTACCTTGAAGATTAATTGCTCTGGTATTGGGCTGGTATTCCCCTGGTATTTGACTGGTCTCAGATGCTGCTCAGTGTCTGGAATAAGCAAGTTCTGTGGAGGATTCAGTTAAAGCAGGAGATTCATGTGTGAAAGTGCAACTTCTGTGCTTTCCTTTGCTACATGCCATGGGTCTCGGACATCAGCTGGCTTCTTGCATGTAGCATAAAAAGGAATTTCAAAAATATATTTAGCACAAAACAAATTCGTAATGCCTTTCCAACCTGTCTGTGGTAAAGATGTTATCTCTGTGGTTAGTGTAGCAGCTGCAATGCATTTTGTGACCTAGAGGGAAATTTCCCTTGCCACTTCTCCTGCTGGGGCATCTTGCCCCTAGCTTGACAGTTCAGGCTGGTCCCAAGAGGCAGGAGACTGTTGCTCTTTCTTGGGCTCCACCTGTGTAAAGTAAAAGGGAAGAAACAGCAACAGTTGTATTGTGCTGTTATCAGAGCTCTGAGAAGTGTTGCCTACATAGGTTACTAAGAAATATTTTTAGAAGTTGTTTAACCAAACCAGGTTTCCTAATACCTTCTTCCTCAATATACCTTTCCTGTTTCTAACTGTCTGAGGTTTCATGGTAGACATTAACTCACCTAATGCTTTCACGACTTGTCTCTGTCCCTTCCTTTCTACTGAACATTTCAGTATTCTGGCAAATGTTCAGCCAGGCAGATCACCTTACTGTCTCTTTGCTAACAAACAGAGTTATTTTTCAGGTGTGTGAGCAAGCTCCATGCGCTGCAATGCGACCAGCAGTGTCAGCAGTGGAGAGTATGTGCAGCTGGGCTCTCACTCCTGACAGCAGGCTTCCTAGGCTGTCTTTACTCAGATGTGAAACTGCTTTATCAGTAAAAAGACCATTGAAAGATTGTCTGAAAAAAATGACAAAGTGTTTCCTGCTTGAATGAACAAATCACAGTTGCTTATCGCAGTAATGACAAAAATCATAGGTGCCCTTCCACTCCCACCCCACCAGGAGCGAAGCAACAGAAGTTAAGAGCAGCTGAAGGGCAGGTTTAGGAGCTCTTGCTGTGACCAGCAGACAGGGTGTCTGATGTGGCACGTCTCCTCTTGTGCCACTGGTGGTTTTGGCTGCTGGGGCAGGAGTGTTGAGGAAGAGCACAAAGAGAAGTGCAGCACCTGGATCTTTAGTTACTCCTACACGCAGCAGATGCTGATGGGGCTGTGCACAGGCACAGTTCTTACATGGACTGAAAGAATGTATTTTTCCAGGACTTGTACCAGATGCAGAGCTTCCTCTCTGATTCACAGGAGGGTTATGAGGGGAGTCCTGTTTGTCTGCATCTGTCTGAACAGACCTGCTGCTGAAAGCCAAATGCCGTCTGCTGTGGAGAAAGGAGGAAGCACTGGTGCTTGTGGTTAGCAAAGGCATCTCGCCTGAAAGCCATGGAGGAACCCTGAGATGGCATGAGCAATGTTAGGCTCACAGTATTACTGTAGTACCTTTAAGTAAGGTATCAGGGGTCAATGGGATGCCCACGGCAGCAACCTTGAGAGGTGCTCTGTGAAGCACAAGTGCTGCTACAGCACGCTTGACCACTTGTGCTGAACACCAAGAGTGTCATTGTCAATGCTTTGTTTCAGGCATAGGGCAGAGAAAAGCCATTGTCACATTGTAATTCAGATCACTCTGGATTTGAGCTATTTTTCATTGCTCTTCTGTATTTTTACTTACAGAATCATTTCAAGTTGTGGTAAGAGGCAACGGCTTCTATCATGCAAGGAATATCGACCAGGTACTCTGCAGCTTCAAGCTCAACGACAGCCTTACTATCAGTAAGTTTGCAGGCTGATGGATTCCAGTGCCCCTTGTGGCTGTGTCACCTCTTGAGTGACAGAGGAGACACAGCCCACCTCTCGTCCACATTGTGGGAGTCCTTGCAGTGGATGTGGGGGGAGCTGAGTAGGGTTCTACACCTAAGAGAAACTTGAAATACATCTTTAATCAGTCTTGCGACCTGTGGACATTATCTTGTGAGGGTTTGTGTGGGATATGCTTCTGCACAATGAATTTCAGCATTGTTGTAATGGTGCATGTGGGTGAGGCAAGCAGCCAGTGAGGACTGGGTATCATGTTTTAAGAGAGAGAAATAAAATTGCTCCCTATTCCCTTGTTCATCACCAGTAAAAAGGAATAATATTATTTTGATCCCTTGGTGGTGTCTTCAGGTTTTTTATTGACAGATTCAGGAGACACTCACTATAAAGCTGGGCCTTCCTAGGTCTGCTCCATTGCTCTCTGATGCCAGTTGCAGGGTCTTAGGACAGCGGGCATGTAATGTGGAAATTCTGTCATCACTGTGCTAAACTAGGTCTTTTGTTTGCTCTCTCAGCAGCTGGGCAAAGGACTGAATGGCCAAAAAAGATTGAGCGTCCAGTTTCTCAGCAGTCCTCTCTTATTCCTGAGAAGCTGTGTATGTCTGGCAGGGTGAAGCACGGCGTGGGGAGGGGAGCTTTGCTCCTTTTTTATATATGCTGTCCTTGTTGGCTGAGCACAGTAGAGGCTTTCACATTCTGTCGCGGTCAGAGCAGTGCCTTCCCTAGCAGTGAATTCACTTACAAGAGGGAGCATATGAATTGCTCCTTCGTTTCCCATCCTGGTTGCCTACGTGGAGGCAACATTAAGTAAACTTTGGTGGTCTCGCTTTCATTCCACTTACAGATGCCCTTTGTGAGGAATTTGTTTCTTGTGGTTTACCAGGTACACTTTTATGTTGGTTTTTTGGTTTTGGGGTTTTTTTTTCCTTGATATACTGGCACTTTTACTGGACTTCACATAGTGAATGCTGACTTAGGCCTAGAAGTACACAGGAGGAAAACTACTTTAATTCCATGCTGTGTTCTTGGGTTAGGTCTTTAACAGATGTTGTGATGAGATACTGATCTATGCTGGCTGGCATTTTTCCCCTCAGGCTGGTCCTGAAACGTATCACTAATTTTCATGGTCTTATGTTTGCCAAAACAGGGAAACAAGCTTTGTCTTCAGGTGTGCTTAGAGTGAAGCAACATCAATGCAGACAACAACTCTCTTATCTGTTGTTGCTTGAGTTAATTTTTTTTTCCTAGGTAGAAAGAGTAGTCAAGCCTCTAAGGTTTAAATAAGCTTCCAGCTTTTACTAGCCCCTCATTCACTTGGGTTTCACTTTTGTGAACCAGTCTTTCTCTGAACTAGCACCTCAGCTGCTTTGGGCCATTCAGAGCTGAGGTGCAGTCCCAGTGGTGACCTGCCTGCTCATGCCTCAGCTTACACGCTTAGTGGCATTGCAGGATTGGGGTTTGGCTTTCTGAATGTGGCTTTTGAAAGCAACAGGGTTAGCACAGCTGACTTCTGGAGCTGCGCAGTGCAGGGAGGCAGGAAAGCACCCATGGCCTTGCTTTTGACTCCACCTGCACCAGACCTCTATGAACACAAACTCTTTCTGGATAATGCTGCCACAGAGGGGAGACTGGGGGCAGGAAAAGCAGCAGCTAGTGCAGGACGGGTCCTCACAGTAACATCTGTCATGGTCTTTCTCTGCCTGTCTCCTGTATGTGACCGACTATGGTGGTTTTTTCCCCCTGGTTTCTATCCACTTCAGCTTCATCCCATCTCTGTTCTTTTACCTGGGCTTAAACAATGAAATCTTGGCTTCTCCTTTGTGTGTTTGGAAGTGGGTAGGCAAAAACTGAACCCTAAACTTCTGACTCCTTGCATAACTTGTGAGATCAGAGTATTCAGTACGAGAGTAGAACTTACATACACTTGTCACATAGACAAGATGAACATTGCTCAAAGCTGGCTTCAAAATGACTGATCACTGCTGTCATGACCAGAGCTGTACTTCCATTTCTTAGCCGTGGTGCCTCTAGCCTGACAATGTTATATTGGCATCAACAAGAACGGTCATCCTAGTGCTTGACTTTGTAGTCAGCACCACTTGGGGGAATACTGGTACTTGTGGATATCCTGAATTCGTCTGCAGCTCTCACTGGTGTCTGTGCTTCTCCAGGGGGCGGCCTGCTTGGGACCATTTCTTATTTTCATCCCTGACAGTTATATTCATTTCCTTTCAGATGAAAAGCCGACCCACGTTCACGATACTTACTTACTTTGTCCTGCCCCAGTGATAGAAGATGCTGGACAGTAAGTATTCTTTCCAGCACATGTTAAGAGAGGGAGGACTTCCGGATGAGGATTTCATTACTGAGACAAGGGTTCATAATTTTGCCCAAAGAGCTAAGCTAATGATTTTTTTTTTGTATATGTGTTTGGCAGGACTGTCTCCATCCCTTTTGTATCAAATCCTCTCCTAGCATAGCTCTATTCAATGTTGGGTCTTTAGCACGTCTTAACCAAAGGCCTTGTTGGGCCGTGGTCCCATATCACCCATAGAATGGTGATTTTTTCCTCTATTCCTTTATCCTTTTATTTTTCAGACCAACAGGTAAGGAATTCTAGGCAAACTTTTTATTTTGATTGGAAAGAGATGCTTGATTTGAATTTCGCTGTTGTTGTAGACGTTGCTTCCTGTGTTGGTGGTTTTCAGCTGTTGTAATCCTGTAGACTCCTGGGAGCCATGGCACAAGGCCCTACCTTGCCCCTGCGTCATCTTGTCGGGGCTTAAATACTGTACTGGGACTAAGGGGCAGTGCCTCCCTCCTCTTTCCTATTTGTGGGTGTGGGAAAATTGTTTGGTGGTGTGGGGTTTTTTTTTAGTTGGTTATTTGTTGAATTTTCTTTTTCCTTGGACCCTTTCTCTGACATTGGAGAGTGGCCAGGGCCAGTTTCTTCTTTAATTTCACTGTTATTTCAGTGTTTTTACCACTTTATCTCATTGCAATTACTCTGGTTTTACCTGGATATAAGAGAAAACACATTCTGGCTCTTTAAGATATAGAAAGGGATAAAAAAAAATAAGAAAAAATGAAAAAAAAAAAGAAGCCTTAAAGTTCCTTGTGCTATCTAGGGTAGTATTGCAAATGTCTGGGATTTTATGACTCACTGTCCTGGTGCCCTTTGCCCCAGGCAGGATGGAGTGTTTTTAATAAAGAACATATGCCCCAACTCAATTAAGCCAACGTACAAAGGGTAGCTCCTGGGCAAGCAGAGAGACAAATGCAGGTAAGCACCTGAAGCCATGAAAATGCCTTTACTCAGCAGGACATCTTATCTGTGTGTATTCATGAGCCAATGGCTAAAACACAGCCAGAAAAAAGGAACAATGGGTATAAAGATGACACTAAAAATAAACGTATCTGTTTTGTGCTTTAGGGTGGTTTTTCTACAAGTCAGCATGAACAACGGGCTAACGTTCATCTCCAGCTCTGTCAGCATCACCAGCACACAGTGTGTAAGTAATTGCAATGGGGCTTGACAGAGAAACCATGAGATCTTGGAAAGACACCGTGGGTCTTGAGGCAAAGACTCCTTGTGTGAGCATGAGCTCTATACAGCTTCTGCACCATGGTTATTGACCGGATCCAGGCTATTCTTTGAAAAATATCAGGGCTAGTTAAGATTAAATCGTTATTGATGGTGTGTAGATCGTGATAGATTCATTGAACAAAAAATTACAACAAAAGGCACCCTCACCTTTTCTGTTCCAGCAAAGAGAGATGCTAAAATCTGACTAGAAGGGAATCTGGGAAAATGAGGCAAGGAGCTTCAGGAAGCAACACCCTGTTGAGCTTTAGGATCCTTTGTGCGATCTGGGATGAAAGGTGCGAATGCAAGGACTTGGATCTGGAAGGGCCACAGTATGGAAGATCCTCTAAATTTATGTGGTTATTTTGGGTCGGAGCTTACATCATTTGTTCTTAGACCACCACAATTTGCCTTTACTACTTGAGGATTCGCTCAGGTTTTTATGCAGTGTTAGTAACAAGAGCTGGTTGCTTTTCTCTTGGCATTATGGGGGGTGACCAGAAAGAGATAGCAGCCACAGTTCCTGGGATGGGCTCTTTGATTAAAGGCTGCTGCTCAGCCTAGCCAAGGGAGAAAGTGCTGCTGCAGGACAGCAATGACTGCAGTATGAGTATCTCCTGGTCAAAAAGGCCACCTTTGCCCAGTTGGAGTGTCAGGGACCAAGAGCTAGAAGTGATCCATTATCAAAATCTGATTTTAGAATCAAACAATCAAAATTAAGAAGCTGACTACTAGATAAACAGTTTTACTTGCCTTGGAGTAAAATAGGCAATGTCCATAGCTAGCGCAAGCAGGAAAAAAAAAATATGGTCTTGTACTTGTGGACTAAGCAAAGTTTGTTGAAGTACCTAGTAGCAAACACTTCGTATCAAAGTTGAGCTTATTGATATTAGTGTCAAAAGGACTTCTATAGCCTATGCCAAATGCTGTCATAGTGGTTTGTAATCATTGTTGGCCTTTTTGACAGCTGCAGAACAGAAAGATAGGAATGGAGATAGAGCCAGTGACTGGAACTTGCAAGTCTGATTTTCTGATGTTTTCAACAATGAAGCTGGGAAGTCTCACACTATATTGCTGGAACAGTCTGGGGTGCAGGGACTTAGAGTTTAGCAGAGATGCGTTTCCTGCTTCAACTGATTATTTTTATTTTTCCAAAACTTTCCTCCAAAATTTCCACACTGAAGGCTGATATTTTCACATTTTATTCCTCTCTTCTACCTCAGGTACAATAAAAACTTTTGAATCTGCAGTGAAACACAAGTGTTAACTGGTGCATTTAGCTACTCTTATGTAGTTTATTTCTGATGCAGACCGAAGTCTTAGCCTTAGCTGGGCTTCCTACAGGTCAGAACATGTGTGGAGAAAGCTTTCCTCTCAGTAGCCTTAGGATAAAGAGAGGAATCCAATCTCCAGTCCTGTCAATCTGACAACTTTTTGACCAGCCTCTTGCAGATTGAATGTGAAGGAGGCAGGGAGCCTGATTCTCAGCTGGTACAAAGAAAACCAAAACAAACAAAAAAACCCAAACAAAACTCAACCGAATAAAACGAAAAACCCCAAACAAACCGTCTTACTCCAGTTAAATTCCGTAAGCAAGGAGGTTGGCATTTCAGTTTCCAGCTTTGTCTTAATTTCATGCATTTCACTCTTCTCGTTTTAGAGACTCCCTCTGTTTCCTTTCCTCTCCCATTTCCTTTTCTGTGGGTGGCAGTCAGCTGGCCGGTTCAGCTCTGCTCCCCAGCTGGCCCTTCTGTCCTTTCGGTACAGTAAGTATCTTCACTTTACTCCTAAAGCCTCTGTGTGATCCCTGTGCTTATTTCTATTCAGCTGCGTGAAGTCTGCTATTTCATTTCCAAAGTCCAGCTTTGCTGTGATGCCTTATATATTTAATCATTAAAAGAGGACTCTTTAGCTTCTTGCTGCCAGTGGCTTCTGAGCTGCTGCTGGCAAATGTCTGGATGATTTATATGAACACTTAGGATGGGAAAAGCAATGCCTGGGAACAAAGGCAACAAAAAAAAGGAGGTAATGTGTGTTTGGAGTAACAGTAGCAGTGGTATGTGCGTCGGTGGCTCATGCACTGTATTGGTGCTGTGCTGAGATTTTTTTTTTAAGGAGTCCAGCAATACCTCTTGAAGTTACGCTTTACTTTTATTCATCCTTTTCTCAGCAAACTGACTTCACTGGGAATTCATGCCTCTCAAGTGTCTGCTTTCCAGATGCATTAGTGCTACATGGGGCCATAGGAGGGCCAGAGAGGAGGACTGCAGCCCTAAAGTGCAGCTGCATAGTGTGTCTTCTAACAGGACTCCTCTGAACAGGGAGTCTGGCACATGCCGCAGCACTTCAGCTTGGCTTTCAGCTGCTCCCTGACAGAATGAATGAGGTGAGCTAAATAGTATATCCTTCAAACGGATTGGTTTGTTGCATCTATAACAAGAAGCTAAAAAAACAGTGGAGGGTTGGTGATGCTGTGACACAGAGTTATGGGATACTGGGCTACCTGCCTAAAAAGACGGAATAGGAGCAATGGTTGTGTTACTCCTGTATTGAATGTGTCAGCCCTGACAGCTCTAGGATAAGGCCTGAGAAGGAATTTGGGATCTCCCCAAGACTTGACAAAGTTCATGTCAGCTGGTACCTTTTTTTTTTTTTTTTTCCCAGCTTTGGCCTTTCCATTGTTTGAGAGGAAAACAAACCCACTTGGGAATAGTGAAGGGAACTCCTTTTTTAAGAATCATAGTATCATAGAATGGCATAGGCTGGAAGGGACATTAGAGATCATCAAGTCCAACCTCCCTGTCATGGGCAGGGACGCCACCTCTCGACTAGACCAGGCAACACATGGGGACCGAGCAGGAAGGCGCCAAGCATCAGTTTCTGATGTCATGAGAATTTAGTACGTAGTTTCAGATTTAATAAGGTGAATCTCATGGACTTTTTCCTCCATAAATCTCCTTTGGAATTTGCTTTTTTTCTGATTATCCTCCCACCTATTCTTTGAAAATCTCTTACAGCTTCCTGTCTAGCCGGCTCCTGTTCCCTCAGCCTGATTCTCAGATCTTCAAGCTCTTTTTACATCTTCCTTGTCCCATGCTCTCCTCTAGTTTGCTGCTAGGTGTTGCCCATTCTTTGGTAACCCTGTTGATGGTGAATTGGGCCTCTTCTCAAATTCGGAAAATCTACAATTGAAAAGGTTTCTTTTCCCAGTATAAAAGAAAAGATTGGAGCACTAGAGCTAATCTTGACTTCATCCCAAAGTCCAGTGCAGTCCAAGGAGATTACATGTCCCAGCATTCTGTTGCCCATCTGCAACAAATGTTTAAATTTCAAGAAGCCATATATTCTATATGTTCTACAGGGGCCAAGCAGCTTATGAAGACGTGCTTTCCTGTAGTCGTCAGAGTGATACCCAGAGTTAATACGTCTTCTGAACACACTGACGTGAAATGCTCTGAGTGCAAGGAATCCAGCAAGATTTACCCAGGAAAATCAGAGCTGTGATTCTCTTTGATTGCCTGGCTGCTCTGAAAAGCTAATTTCAAGTGTTAATGCCTGAAATTTTTTGGATTCTACTAATTGTAAAGAAAATTTAACTTTGATTTTGAATGTAGATCCTTAGCTATCCAGCCCCAGAGTCCCACCATTCTCTGCAGAGAAATCGATCAAATGTGCAAGTGAGGAATGCTTAAGATCATGATTACAGTATCTCATTAAAAGATAGTTCAAACCATCCCTAGGAAGCATACCAAGAGTGAGGAGCATTAAGCACTAGTTTGAATAATCACTCAGGCTGGGATTGTGTGTGCAGTTTGAATCAAGAGGCAATACAGGCGGGCTCAGGAGCTGATGAGGCTGAGCAAGTAGATTGTGCTCTGTTCCATGATGTTAACGTATGAACAGTTACCCATAAGCTCTTAGCTCCAGTATTCTCGTTCTTTGAATGCTAGCATTTGCATATTCTGCATCTCTAGTGATGAGAAGTTACTCTGCACAACTGAGAGTCTGTGGTCATGTAGTTTGCAGTAACCCTCTGACAGTATTAAGGGAGCTGCCAGCACAGATTTGAGAATGATTCATATGCAAGTTTAACACCCTTGAATCTAGTGGGCTATAAATATAACAAATTTATACATAAATTGTGTGTACACACACCACAAACAGGAGGTGCTTCCTTGCATTATGACTTCAAGCATAGATTTGTCACACCAAATACTGATGTGACCCTAATGATAATAGTGATTGACTGTGCAGTCTACCTGAGACCTTGTAGTGAGAGAAAACCTGACTCATTTTGCACAATCGGAATGTGTAGCTTAGGGCTCCTGCCTTGTTTCTGACATGCCAGATAACTCGGAAGTAATTATCTTGTTTGCAGCTGACTGGGACCATCCTTTTCATTGCTCTCCTGATTCTCTTTATGCTGCTGGCTCTGGCTCTTCTGTGGTGGTTCTGGCCACTTTGCTGCACAGTGGTAAGTACAGGTTTTTATTCTTTTGACTTGGTTTCATCTCTTCTCTGCAAAATCACCGAGTTAAAGTGTTCGAGTAGGTGGTTAACTTAAAGAAAAATGCTGCCAGGTTTGTAAGGCCCTGATTCAACAAATTGCATAAAATGCTTGTTCAACTCACTCTGGTTTGGGTTTTTGAATGTCGCAAGGCAACGCGATTTTGATACTGAATGAGAAGATTAAGTGAGCTCGTGGGCATGGCCCAACTTTCTCTAGAGATCAAGACCTCTTTAGAAGCACAATTTGAAACCTACTGCAGAAAAGTGTAATGGAACTGATTTACTAACATGTGCATAAGTCCTTTTTAAAGACTGGAGTTAGACTCTTTTATTTGGAGGAGCTACAGGTTCTGAGTGAGTATTTTCCGATAGCTTAGGAATTATATGACCTCTTTTAGGTAGAACTACAAGAATATGGAGCTATATTATGAGTTACTTAATGGGGCACTTCTTGACTAATCACATAGTTCGATGTGATGGATTTAGCTTCTCACCTGTATGTTTTTTTATGCCTACTGAAAAGCAATGGGGCTAATGAGAGCATCGAATGTGGGGCGGTGGAGCAGGTCAACCCATATGTGTATGAGCAAGAAAGCAGAGAGGATATAGCATTGAGATGGATGAACCCTACCATTATCTCAGATTTCTCCAATTGTTCATATATATTCCAGGTGATCAAGGAACCGCCGCCGCCACCACCTCCAGAGCCTGTAAGTATGCTATTTTTGATCTGTTGCACTGTTTGCAGCCACTGTAGTGCATTGTCCTGCCCAGAAACGTGAGCCCTGTAGGTGTCTTAATGACACCTTGAAGGCTGTGAGAGGAAGTCTCTTGGGTCAGGATAGTTATTTCTGCTTCTGGCCTTTTTATATACATACAGCAAGATTATTTCTGTCCAAAGAGAAAATAGGTTGCATAACTCTGAAGTCCACAGACCAACAGTTCCTATGGTATTTTGTTCCTTCTGCTCTGTGTCAGACAGACATGTAGGCAAATCTTTGCTTGTCAAGCTGTGCTGAAAGCTGTCGCTCCTCCAGTAAAGCTCTCAGCAGTAGTTTAGCCCAGACTGGCAGTACAGAGCAAAGTCTGGCAGCTGAAGAAGGGGACAGTGAAGGCCACGTTGTTATGGCTTTGATACAGGAGAGGGAGACAAGAGCCTGCACTGGCTGGGGCTCTGCTGCAGAGTGACCTTTGGAAGGACATTTAGCCTTTCTCCATTTAGGTTGTGAGCTGTTTGAGGCAGGGTTGTATTTAGCTCTGTCTGGGACAGTAACACACTGACCCTGACCTCAGCTTAGTTCCACTGTACTCATTTAATGAAAATAATAGTAATAAATAAAAGTACCTCCAGAGAAAACTCATGCATGGCTTTTTCTTTCCTAGGCATAGATAGTTAAATGATGGAAAAATTCTTGCTTAACCCACGAGTGGAGCTTACAGTTCACTGCTAACTTGCCGTAATTTGGCATGAGTATCAGGAGGCAACCACAGCTGCTGTTTTGAGGTTGCCAGAGGCCACCATTACTGTGTCTGTGATCCTGTTGATTGTCCTGGACAGCAGCACTGTGACAATTTAACATGCAAAAAATCATGCTGGTTTTAGGGTGATTAGTGTTGTCATGAAACATGCAGTTGTAGCCATGCTCTGTTTGAAGAAAGTTTCGGAGACCATCACACCCCTGTGGCAGAGTTCCCGGATGCTTTGGATTATTCTCATCAGCAGAGATTTTAAGTGCAATCAAAGAGACTGTGAGCTGACGTAAGCCTCCAAGAATAACACAGAATACAGATGTTATCTATCTCTCTACTTGGCCTTGCCTTTATCCCGTATGGGATTGTTGCTTCGTTATACTTAGCACCAGCCTGCCTAGGTATGGTGACCTGACCTCCTGCTGATGTAGTCTGGCATTGCAGCTGTTAGACTGAGTATAGTTATCTGAACTGCAAGCGTTACGTGTCCATTACTTTTCAAAATGTGTGTGGTAGCTGTTGATACCCTTTTGCTATGACTTCAGTGTAGGGGGTATTTGGTACAAATCCTTTATCAGCTGGAAAAGTATCAGCCATTGCTATTAACTGTGTCCTGCTACTGTTGGTCTTGCCAGAAATATGGGTTGTTTTAGACATGAAGACTTGAAATCTGTGTTACATCTCATAGAGAGGAGGATATTTTGTGAAGTTCACAATGAAATCAAATATAAATGAATTAAAACTGCTAATGTAGTTCACTGGGTACTGGTTTGGATGTGACATGAAGTGAGATAAAAATTGTGTATTTATTATACTCTTCCAAAACAACACCAAATCACAGTGTTTTCCTTGTCCACTCTAGACAATTTGTTAGAATTTGTTAGAGGAACTGACCCATTAAACATAGCTGAGGGATCGGATGTCACTGAATAACTAATGAGAATACCGTTCTCCAAGGCATAACATAAGAGTTAAATATGAACAGAAATTAAGACATCTTTTCTAAAAACTATTATTGGCTTTTGGACTCTCAATTCCTTTTTGATTCCAATAGAAACATGTAGAGCAGTTTTGAGAAAATGTCACCTAGTAATCTGACAATAATTTGTGTCCTTCTCTAGTATTTGTATTTCACATGATTATTTTATTTTATTTTTTTTTAGTGAAAACTTAAGTCCAGGTAGTGTTTCTAGAAGCATACTTTTACTGATGAAAATTAGCAGAGAGCACTGTGCATGGCCAGTCCAAGAGCAGCACGCACATCTGCACATCACTGTGAGGTGTCGATGTTTTTATTAAAGAGCGTGAAGAATGAAGACAGTATTGTAGGAGGCTTATTGGGCCCTTTCCTCAATTATGTGTGTGTGTAGTTAGAGAGTATCATGATGTGCCTTTCCTGTGCCTCGGCTCAGTGTAGTGATAGGGAGGCTCAGAAGGATGTCTGAGTGACTTCTGTTGACTCGAGAACATAAAGCTGGAGATGTGTTCCCAGGGTTGTCGAACCAGAAACATCTGCCAGCTTTTACCTAAGCAAGAACAGAACAATGAACCTGAAGTAAAACCATGATTCAGACTCTACCACGTTCCAGAAAAATAATCTGTAGTCTTTGTAATTGCAGGTCAAAAACTCTGGGTCTGAGTTTCCTTACAACTTGGAGATGCTCCAGTCTAAGCCCTGGTTCCAAACTGTACAGCTTGAGCCAGACTCTACAAAGAATCAAGTAGCACAGAATAACTGGTTACAGCTGCCATGGGAAAAGGGTCTGATGCACATGTTAGAAAACTCACAGTGGTAGCTTTTTTTCCCCTTTTAGGTGACATTAAGTTCTAAAAGAGCAATTAATAGATGATTTCTTTGGACTAACTGATTGCTGAATTTTCTACGTAGCATAGTGGCAAGCCAGTATAATGTACGATTCATCCCCACTTTGCCTTCCCTTACAAGTCAGTTGTGATTTTGAAGCTCAATGCATATTTCACTAAATAAAAGCTGCCTGGAGAAAGGAATAGGCAACGCTCTTTGGCTTCCCTGGTTAAAATTGCAGCTGCAGAGACAAGAGACTTTTGTGTTTTTGTCAGCAAATAAGTATAGCACACAAAGCCAGATACCCAAGGATTGGACCATGGGATGTTCAGTTGTTTTCCATGGCTATGCTGTTTATGTGAGAAAAAACAATAACATATCTCCCTGTCTGTCCCATAGGAATCAGATGATGAAGACGGATTGCCGAAGAAGAAGTGGCCAACCGTGGATGCATCTTATTACGGAGGTCGAGGTGTTGGTGGGATTAAGAGGATGGAGGTATTTGGCTTGTTCTTTAGTGTTGTGAAAATCAGCACATTAAATTATAAAATGTTTTTATGTCATTTTTAAAAAGCTACCTTGATGGACTAGAGTCTGGGATTTAATTAGGGTTTGTCCATCTGATTGCACCTGCTGCCCAAGTAGCAGACATCAAGCTGCCATCATTTGCATGAATAATGAAGTGAATGTAGTATTATGAGCCAGAGCAAATTTTCAGGTTAAGAAATGGGATAAGCACTAAAAGAAGTTTTATGGAATCAAACCTTTCAGTGCAGCTGGGACCAGATCTCTTGTCTCAGACAGAGTTACACTGGTTTTGAGTATTCCAGCCATCTACACTGTGCCTGGCTGGCTGGAAATGGTTGGTTTGGGGAACTGAAACCAGTGATCTTTATTTTTTTTTAGTTTATTTTTGGTTTTGCTGAGGAGTTTTGTTTGTTTGTTTTCAATTAAGCATTAATTTGTAATGCACAAACCCACATCTCTGTTGAAATGGGCAAATGAATCGAATCCTGCCCTGAGATACGGGCACAAGCCGATTTTGATGTGTGAAGTGAGGTGTTAGTGTGAAAGAGATTTTTCTGGTACTGGCCAATGGCATGCACATTGTAGAGAGTCAGTGAATAATGCTGTGATCAGCTACTAACTCCTGTACATAACCATGTTAGTGAAATCAATTCAATATTCCTAACCATGGATAATAGAAGACAGATATTTGTCACTCACTTGTATCAGCTGAGTGTTGTAATGACTTTTGAGGATGTCACACCAGAAACTCCACTAGATTTAACTGGTAGCTGAGGGAGGTGGACTAAGGTAAGCAAACTGAGGATCCAGGCCAAACTAGGGCTAGCAGAATGAAAGCAGTGTCTTCTCAGCAAGTCCCTGCAAGTCTGCAGTTGCAGCTTTACATCTTAATATCCGTAACCATTTTCCTTGGGAGAATTTTATCCCTGGTGCTCAATAACCCTGTGGATCATATTGCCCTTGAATGCAGGGTCATGTTTCTGTTTGAGGTAAGTCAGACTACAAAATCAGAGTTCCAACTTTAAATAAGGTAGTGCACAGTATGTGAAAATACAGTTACTGACCTCTTTTGTGACTATGCAAGGGTGGGTGCTGTTAATCCATTCACATACTTGTCCACTGACCCTTTTTTCACTTTTGAACTGAACAACAGGAGCTGCTTAAGGCCAGCTGTAAAGACTGCCTACCTTCAGCTGGTGCTGCTGCCTGCTTTTTGCATGAGGCTCTTGGGAAGCATATTCCATGTGTCCTACCAGAGCTGAGCAGAGTGCTACAGATGTCACTTGGAAATGGGTTAATCTGCCCTGGGTGCTGTGAATTCCCTCAACACCTTAGGTTACTGGAAGGTGAAGAGGCTAGTAGTTCAAGCAGGTTTTGAGTGAGACTATTTGACTCTTATTTGTGTATTTCTGATTACAGTGGGAGTTTGGTGCCTTCATAAATTTGGCTTTGTGTCTGGTGGTATCCATCTGCTGGTGGGGGCTGACATGTCTCTACTTACAGTGTGCTCTCCTGACTCCAGGTACGGTGGGGAGACAAAGGATCAACAGAGGAAGGAGCAAAATTGGAGAAGCCCAAAAATGCTATCATTAAGTTGCCAGAACAGGAGTATGAGCCATGGGAACCAAAGCCGAAAAAGCCCCATGTGAGAAAGCCACCTTCCCAGCGGAAATGGTACACTCCAATCAAGGTAGTGTGTCTGCCCCTGAGTTTTGCAAAGTCTCTTACGTCATGCATGTTACTACATCCTGCTTCCTTAACTCAGCCTTTCTTATGGCAGAGCTGGGAGATCCAGTTTAGAAAAATGGTCAGTAACCCTCAACTTTGTCCATTTCTTGGAACATGCATTTCATCTGGCACTGTGTTGCCGTGTATTTTTGAGGAAGTGTGGAGAGTGTTGGAGGGCATGAGCATTTTCCCTCCCTCAGCTCACACCTCTTCAGGTACTTTTGCACAGCCTGGATTGCAACAGCAGATACTCAGATCTTATTTGGGGTGGGTGCTGTTTTGTGTCATCTCAAGACAGCATATGAAAAGGATCAGAAAAAGTTCACCATCCTCGCTTTGGTTGCGCTGTGGCTAAGGCCTGGGCTTGGTGTTTAGCTCTGTTCCTCTAGTTCAGCCACAAGATGTAGTGTTTGACTTTGGGCAAGTCACTCAGTCTCTCCACACTTTCATCCTCATTTGTCCCATGTCATTATAGTATCTGGTGTCTCCCTGTATTTTAATGTATGTATCCTCACACAACCCTTGAGGCAGAGCTGTTATCTCTGCTTACAGAGAAGGAAGCGGAGGGCTAGCTGAGGCTGCAGGAGCAGCGTACCATGCTCATCCCAGAAACCTGTGGCCATGTCTCAAACCAGTGTTTTGTGGGATGAGGTCGCCCCTCCTCACCATGCTCAGAGATCAGCTTAACAGTGCTTGAATTTATGGTCTGGGAAGTACCTATGAATTTTAAAGCCCTGCCCATGTAGGTAGTCTTGTGGCTGTTTATAAAAGCTTTCCTTGGTCGTGTCATTTTATTTATTTTTATTCCAGGGCAAACTTGATGCACTGTGGGCTTTGGTTCGGCGAGGCTATGATCAAGTCTCTCTTATGAGACCGCAGCCGGGGGATAAGGTAAGGCATCACAAATGCCCTGGCATGTCACTTCTCCGTTAGCAGCAGCAATGTTCTTCCTTCCCAACCACCCCATCTTTCTCTCTCCTCTCTCTTTTTTTTTTTCATTTCTTTTTTTTTTTTTCCTGGTGAGCTTTTCTCTCTTCATATTACCCTAAGGCTACAAATTTGTCACAAGAACCAGAGATTTTTAAATGAGCTAAGAAGAAGAGGCTGGCTGGCCACAGTAGTATGAGGCACGTATTTCAGCCATCTAATTTCTTAGCTTTTTTTTTAATTTTATTTTTGATAGGCACATGTGTTGAAGTTGAAGGATAGATTCTTTGTTTGTGAGTTCTGGGGAGCTGCTTGTTTTGAATTTAGTATGCAATAGTAATTTTACAATAGTAATTATCCTTCCTACTCAACTTCATAAAAATACTTCTCAGATTTAATAACAGAGTTAAGTGATTAATGAGAGAAATCATGAACTGTGCAGGTGATGAAGAAACAAATTATAATAAAGTTAATAAAGAATAAAGTTTCAGTAGAATTTTGTGCGAAGACACATTTCTCTGGCTTATCTTATATTTAGGCAGAGAGTATCTCCTGCTCAACAGTCTGTTGGCCAAACATGGTTTAGGAGCAGCTTCCCCCTGGGAGGAAGCAGGGAGTTTGCACGTTTCAGAGCCGCAGAGATGTCTGTGTGCTGCCCCTGGGTCATTTGCAATAGTTTAGTTCAAAGCTCTCCCTATGGAAGACCCTGTAAGAATTGACGGCTGCTGCTTTGAGCTGTTGCGCCTTTAAATTTGGCTTTCTGCGGTGTCACTTTGAAACATGAGGACCAAGCTGAGGTCAGAGCATCTTTTTCCCTTCTCTGGCCCTTTTCTGGCCAGAGTCCATACTGGTCATCAGTTTTGTTTTCAGGAGAAGGGGTTATAGAGTTACAGCAGTAGGGGCCATAAAGTGCTTTTTTGAAGTAGGTATAGTACAGAGACCTTTGTGCTGGGTTTGTTTGCCTGGATGACTTTGATGCCTCATAACAGACTTTAAAAATAACACTAACTTGCATCAGCTAGGACAAATAAGTTGCATTCCTCTGGCCTTTGGCAAAATACTGTTATGGCATTTGTCTAGTTATTAACCAAGCATGCAGCTTCAGTATTTGAAGTTTAGTCTCTTCCATTTCTCTTTTGGTGCTTAAGGAAACTTAAGAGAACAAACGCAGCTTCCTGTGCTACTTTGTGAAATGGTCTTAACTGTTTCACTAAGCTGCATTCTCAAGGCAGCTGTGCTTGAGACACCTTATTTACTTTTTAAGCACGATCTAGAGCTTCTGAATGGGCTCTTTAGGCCCAGCTGTATTTTGATAGCACTAACATTGTATAATATGAATCCATCCTCTGCCTTTCACTCCGTTTGGTTGGTACGTTTCTATCAATGCAGAGCACAACAGAGCCTCTGTTAGCCTGTGTGGTCAAGAAACATGCAGGGGGCTGGCTCCAAACAGGGATCTTCAGTTCCTTGCCTTCCAGCTCTGCTGCAGGGTGGACGAGGGGCTCAAAGGAGGCAATGTAGAACAGTGCAAACTGAAGGATTATTCTATCAGGGAAGAACATTAGAAAAATCAAATGTACATCTGGGAAATAGGGTGGAAAGGATCCTATTGAGGCAGATTCAGTGGAAGAATAGGATCATCTCTGTTCCCTGGCCTGTGAAATTAACTAAAGCTGAAGGATATTGAAAGTGAAGCAAGAAAATGACTGGACATCCTTCTGCTGTTTAAATAAAAGAATAAAGGACACCGCAGGCTTGTATTTTATGGAGAAAGCTAGCACAGAAAAGGGCAAGGTTATTATTTATTGTTTGGCAAATAGTAGCAGTCCCTCAGTGGAGAACTGGCTCCTTGCGAGTTAGGCTTTGGGTGGGGGCCAAGTACGGAAATACGCACTTAATTACAGGTAAGTCTGTATGAGTTACTTTGTGACTGAAAAGAGTGACCGGCAGCATGAGGAGCCTCAAGCTGTGGCCGTGCGGAGCTGGAGGAGCTTGGCAGCCCCAGGAGCAAGCCCACGGCTCTGCTCCACCCAGCCCAGGTGGGGACAAGGTCAGCGCTGTGCACCTGTGCTGACAGCTGTACCTGGATTTTGGTTCACTCTTGGGTAGAGGTGAAAGTGCAGCGTGCCGTGGTGTTCTTCCAGACTGCGCCGTCCCGGGGACAGTGACTGTGTGGTGGCTTTGGAGAGAGGGGTTGCTGTGCTTTGTGAGGTTTTGTGGGATTTGGGAGAGCAGAGGGAAGAGTTCTTCAGGTTTTCCAGTTTGCTTTTTCTTTTTTTTGTCTGTTTGTTTGATTTGATTTTAAGGTAATTTCATGGTTGTCTTGCTTGTTCAGGAAAACAGGAACACAATTCAGTTCTGTTTGGGGCATGGTATTTGGTTTCGTAACTCAGAAAATGTCTTTCTCTGAATTTCCCCAGAGTCAGTCAAATTATTATTGTTACATTTCCAGGGATTACCAGAGGTATAGGTTGTTTTGCAGTGGAACAAGATAACTCACTGAAGTTACATTTTCGAAATTTCTGTTTCACAGTTTACCTACACTGGGAGGAGAATAAAAAAAAGGGTTTAATTTTCCATTTTTATTGCTTCAGTTAGGCACGTTTGCTTTTTGCAGCTATTGGGAGAAATTACAGCAAACCATTTTTTCTGCCTAATGAAAATACTAATTATAGAGAAGAGAACATCCACAATACAGAAAGAAAAATAATTTTCACAAGGCTTTTGGGACAGGAGGCAGATGACAAAGGAGAGGGTTTTTCTACATTAAAACTTTCTTCTTAAAACTCTTTTGAAAAGTGTAATTTCTTTCATCATTTGAAAATAAGTGGTTTGGGAGCTTTTCTCCAAAAAAATCTGAAAAATATTTGTAGAAAAACTTTCTGTGATAGTTTTTATGAAAAATAAAATAGGTTAATATTTCTAGTATATTCACCAATGTATCTGGTTTTGTCACAGAGAAGCACAAGTTTTTGGACATTTTTCAGAGCTGTTCAGCATTTTCCTCACAACACAGCCTTCTTTAGCTCTGCAAACCACACAGTGAAGACAGTGTTGCTACCCCAGGTTTTCAAATCAAGACTTCTCCTCTACTCCCATCATAAAGTGAAGTTAAAAATGACGCTGGTTTGTTGGGGTTTTTTGAGTCTACGCCATTCCAGAGTGCGTGTGAGAGCCTTGCAGTGGAAATTCAGGCTGAAGCAGGAATACAGGGCTGCCTGCTGCAAGGGGCTTTCTGTTGTTCCTTGCTCTGAGTGGCCAGGGCTGCTGTCCATCCATCCTCATTTCTTCTGTCGTCATGATTCTCTGGCCCTTCACAAGCCACTCGCTTTTTTCCTTACCTGTGTGCCCCTTGGGCTGCTGCCCAAAATGCTCCCTTCCATTTCTTTCTGTGGTTTCTTCCTCTGCTTGCTCACTCTCTCAGTCCTTGTTTCCCTGCACCGCACCCCTAATGAGGCAGGCTGGTGCCCTGAGTGCTGCCCTCTGGGAGCAATGGGCTGGTGGCCAGCCTCCCACCTCTGTTCTTCTCAGGCTGCAGGGCCTGTGCTGCCAGGAGCAGCATGCCCTGGGTTATGGCCTCGCTGCAGAGCTGGCTCAGGCTGCTGAGAGTTCCCCTGCCCTGGCCTGTGTCTTCCATGAACTTACCAAGAAAAGAATCTCAGCATGGATGACCCATCAGTATTGGGCAGGATTGTATTAATAGGTCTGACTGTGAAAATCGCAGGCACTTTTTGGAACTGCCTATTCAAAGAAAACCAGCCAAGCATATGCTCTGATGCCCCACCTCCCGGGAGCTGTGCCCACACAGTGTTTGGCTTAGCTCTGCAGACAGGTCATGGCACCACTGCTGAAATTGGTTATTAGTTTGGCAAATAATCTCAGTGAAGAGTGACAGGACCCCACTCACTTGACCTCTGCAGTTCACTTCTAGCAGGAGTTTGTGTTGCAAGATGGAGCAGCAAGGACTAAACACACTTAGCTCTACCCCATCATTAGCTGATAGGTTGTTATTTGTGGGATGGCTTGTTGCTGAGCTCTCAGATAGCATCAGCAGAAGGATGAATTGATGAAAAAGGGCTGTTGGCTCTGCTGCAAATTGCTGGGCTTTCTTCCTTGCAGTAATATACAAAGGTGAAGCCTTCACAGACATTTGTGCTGCAGCAGGCAGTGATCGATCCCTTAGAGCTAGCCTGCTACTCTTCCCTTCCTCCACCAGAAATTTGGGCCTTGGAGGACCAGCTCTGAGGTAGCGATGCTGTTTGTCTAGCAATATGGAACATGTCAGAGTGGCCACATGGCCTAGTGAGCTATGTGTTGCTCAGGATACTCAGTCTGCCTTCAGGACTTGCTCATCTCTGTGGTAGTGTCCTAAGCTTGGTTCTGAGTTTGCAGGTGATTGCTATGAAGATTGGAGTTGGGGAAATGTTAGTGTCGGGCTATCTTGAAGTAGCTCACAGAAACGACAGCAGCTGGTGAAGGCAGGTGGTCAGCACTCTCTGCAAAAGGGAACTTTCGAGCTCTTCACCTTGGTCTTGTAGATCAAAAGTGGGACTGTTACCAATGCCAGCAAGTAAGCATTAAAAGCTCCAGTATGTGCAAAGAGGAAGGTGAGATGCTTCTTTCAGATTGTCTATTTAGCTGCTGCCTTCACCAAATCCATTCTGTTTTGCATTTCAGCACATACTACCACAGGAAATTCTCAGAGGCTTGGTTTACTGAAACCCTCAACTGAAAAAAGACGACAATTTTCCCCCCTCCGAGCAGAGTTGCTCTTCCTTGGGTTAAAGCTTTAAAAAGTGATCTTGTTTTTGTCACTGAAAATTACTTGCAACAGAGAGTGAGAGTGTAGACTGAATTTTGCTTTCACCATCACCCTTGTGTACTCATGGGACTCAGCTTAGAAAAATGCAATACTTTAGCAGTACTACTCTGCGATTTGTGCATGCAAAGCCCTTTCCTGGGGA